CAGTTTTTAAGTAGTAAGAGGCTGACTCGTTTCAGAAGACACACACACACACAGACATAAAACCAAAACCCTAAAAACTTTTGTGGAGGCTTTTTTCTTTCATTGCAGCAAAGAGATTGTAAATGTCTTTTTTTTTTTTTAAGAGTCCTTTATTCTCATTATGGATCATTCCCTGGCACTAAGGGGTTTCTGTCCACCTGAGGAGGAGAGATCATATCCTCCAGGACAGAGAACAATTCCTGTAGATGAGAGTTAGTATTAAATAGAAATGTCTTCTATTTCCTCTTGGGGTTCTTTTCCACATCACAGAAGTGAAGGAAACATAATGGGATGAAAAGCAACCTTGAGCTACTGAGAAAAATGATTCGCTACAGTTCTTGTAAAGTTTCCTCCTTTAGTACAAGTTAAATCAACTATTTAACTCCTCTTTCTAATATAACCCAAGTCCCAAAGGCCATCATTGGTATGGGACTCTCCTCAATATGTGTGTGGTGTGTGTGTGTGTGTGTGTGTGAGAGAGAGAGAGAGAGAGAGAGAGAGAGAGAGAGAGAGAGAGAGAGAGAGAGAGAGAGATAAACCATACCAACCTCAATTCAGGTTTCTGAAGGGAGAAGGAGACTTGAGGAGAAGTTGAACATGAGAAGCTGGCAATCTCTATCATGTCCCTATCCCTAGCTTCTCTGGAAGTTTTTTCTTTATGTATTAGGGTAATATCATTGGCTCTTTCTCATTAGAAGACAGAAAGGGGAAGAGAGAAGAGATGACACTCAAATCTTCCATTTTTCCATTCAGCATCAGCTCCACAGGAAGAAAGATCTTGGCACTAGTGACTAAAGTAAAGCTTTGGCCTTTCTCGGATGACAATCTGGCCATGTAGAATACAGCTAGGTGATGCACTGGATAGACTGCCAGACGTATAGTTAGGAAAATCTGAGTTCAAATCCAGTCTCAGTCACTTACTGGTTGTGTGACTCTGGGCAAGTCGCTTAACCCTGTTTACCTCAGTTTCCTCACCTGTAAAATGAGCTAGAGAAGGAAATGGCAAACCACTGAAGTATCTTTGCCAAGAAAACCCCAAATGGAAAGAATTTTTACAACCAGTGTCTCTGATAAGGGCCTCATTTCTAAAATATATAGAGAACTAAGTCAAATTTATAAGAATACAAGTCATTCCCCAATTGATATATTGGCAAAGGATATGAAGAGGCAGTTCTCAGATGAAGAAATTAAAGCTATCTGTAGTCATATGAAAAAATGCTCTAAATCACTACTGATTAGAGAAATGCAAATCAAAACAACTCTGAGGTACGACATCACACCTATCAGATCGGCTAACATGACAAAATAGGACCATGATAAATGTTGGAGAAGATGTAGGAAAATTGGAACATTAATGCATTGTTGATGGAGTTGTGAATTGATCTAACCATTCTGGAGAGGAATTTGGAACTACGCCCAAAGGACTATACAAATGTGCATACCCTTTGACCTAGCAATAGCACTTCTAGGGCTGTATCCCAAAGAGATCATAAAAATGGGAAAAGGACCCACATGTACAAAAATATTTATATGAACTCTTTCTGTGGTGGCAAAGAATTGGAAATTGAGGGGATGGCCATCAACTGGGGAATGGCTGAACAAGTGGTATATGAATATAATGGAATACTGTTGTGCTATAAAAAATGATGAGCAAGCAGACTTCAGAAAAACCTGGAAGGACGTGTATGGACTGATGCTGAGTGAAGTGAGCAGAACCAGGAGAACGTTGTACACAGTAACAGCCACATTGTGTGATGACTAATATTGATAGACTTAGCCCTTCTCAGCAATGCAAGGATCTAAGACACCTCCAAAAGTTTTATGATGGAAAATGCTATCTACATCCAAAGAAAGAACTATGGAGTTTGAATGCAGGTCGAAGCATACTATTTGCTCTTTTTTTTCTTGTTTTGTTTTGTTTCTTCTTTCTTGTGGTTCCTCCTATTGGTTCTAATTCTTCTTTACAACATGACTAATGTGAAAATATGTTTAATAGGAATGTATATGTAAAGCCTATATCAGATTGCATGCCATCTTGGAGAGGGAGGTGGGGAATAAAGGGGGAAAATTTTTAAACTCAAAAGCTTATAGAAGTGATTGTCGAAAACTAAACATAAATTAATTTTTAAAAAACTTATAATGCTATAATACAAAATATCATTGTTATAATGAAAAAATAAAAATCACATTAATTCTAAAAAAGAAAACCCCAAATGGTGTCACGAAGAGTTGGATGCAACTAAAACAAGTGAACAACAACTACAATCACAATAGAAGGTAATGTGAGAAATCCATGTTTGGCAAAGACATGGGTGCTTTAAGAACAGCTATGTTCAAGAGGAGAAATGGTGAGAACTATGGCCTGAGCAGCAACTATAAAACAACAGTACCTTTTCATTTCAGGGGCCCAAAGCAGAACAAGATAAACTGTATGCAGCTTTCTAGAGGAGCAGCTTTCCAGAGGAGCGGCTTTCTCCAAACTTTTAAAGAACAAACTTCTAGAAAAGGATGCGCAAAGAATGGTGCCACAAAATCAGGCACCCAAGGTGTTAATCCTCAGAACCCCCAAAATAAGGCTCTATATAAAAGCTGGGAAGTCCCACTGCCAAAACTTTGCCGACCCGACATGCTTGTTTGATTTTTTTTTACTCACTAGATCCATGATTTCATCAGTCTTATTGATTTGTCTTCATCACAATTCCAGTTTACAATTAGCTCATTAGATCTTATGACAGGTCACTGTCCTGATATTATTATTTTATATTTAATATTCTATTGACTATTGTGCAAGTGGATAAAATGGCTGTTTTTTGTTATTGAATGAGATTATCAGCTCATCTTCCATAGGCTCAATGACAGCATCTCCAGGGCAACCCAAGCAGCAGACATGAGGACAGGGATGATATGTTCTTTATTCTGCTCCTAAATGGTTTTGATTTCTTCTGCTGATCTATATATTTTGAAAGCTTTTCATGGCATGAAGCTTGGAGATCATGAGTTTTCATGATGGGGACATCTATTAACATGTTGTTCTTAAATTTTTATGAAGTAATGCTATGCCCAAGCAATTATGGATACCAGTGTTGTCACTGACAGTGCACTTTGATTTCTGTACAGTTCATTTGTTGAATTCTCAAGGATCGGTGGCATCATGGTGCATAGAGCATTGGGCCTGGAGTCAGAAAGACTCACATCTTCCTGAATTCAAATCTGGCCTTAGAGATTTACTAGCTGTGGGACCCTGGGCAAATTACTTAACCCTGTTTGCCTCAGTTTCCTTATCTCAAATAAGCTTGAAAAGGAAATGGCCAACCACTCCAGTAACTTTGCCAAGAAAACCTCAAATCGGGTCATGAAGAGTTGGACACAACTAAAATGACTGAACAGCAACAAAAAGAATAATTTGTAGTATGGTAATTTGTTATAACAAAGATAATGAGCTTCTAATATATAATTCTAGGCATGAGATCCTTGCCAAGTATTTGGTAGATATTAATTTTTTGCAACCTGCAGTGATAAGTTAGATAGCTTCTACTATTTTTTTTATTTTGCTTTTTGGTGAGGCAATCGAGGTTAAGTGACTTGCCCAGGGTCACACAGCTAGTAAGTGTCAAGTGTCTGAGGCCAGATTTGAACTCAGGTCCTACTGACTTCAAGGCTGGAGCTATATGCATTGCACCACCTAGCTGCCCCTACCTTCTGCTACTTTCTTGCGTAATCTGAGCTGTTCAATAAATCCAGAGTCCTTATGGGCAATCATTCTACAATTTCCAGGGCAGTGGTCCATTCTAGAATCACTATCTTAACCCTCTCCATTTCTGTAAATAGATCCACATGACTTGGATATTTGTTCAGTTGCTTCTTTGCCAATACATCATTGGCTGTGTCCACATGGAGGCTGACCATGGAAAGCCTCTTCATTCCACTTTGGTTTTGGGGTTTTTTGTTTGTTTGTTTGTTTGTTTTTTGTGAGGCAATTGGGATTAAGTGACTTGCCCAGTGTCACACAGCTAGTAAGTGTCAGGTGTCTGAGGCCGATTTGAACTCAGGTCCTCCTGACTCCAAGGCCAGAGTTCTTTCCACTGTACCATTTAGCTGCCCCTTTCATTCCACTTTGGGATCTTAGCCATTTCACTGGCTCCATTCAGAAGTAAGCCAGTTTCAGTTATAATCAACAAACTCCATAATTCATGCTTATTGTTGGCCCTTACTATTGCTCTGTATAGCGATGCCTCTTCGTTCCAGAATAATTTCTATGTTTTTAACCTGTTTAATAATGCTTTGAGAATATCTACCAATTCTATTCCTCCTTTTTGATCAGGGAGTGTTCATTTCTGTAGAGGGGTCTTAGGATAATGAGGTTTGTTAGTGTTTCATTAATATAATATTAGTGTTTCATTTAATATCATATTAACATCATTAATATCATTTGTTTGCATACTTTCTAAGCCTGTCATTGTCTACATTACTATTCCCAAAACATACATTAAGATCAATATAGTATAGGTATTAATTGCTCTCAGTGTGTTGATATAGCATCATCATCATCATCATCATCATCATCATCATCATATCATCATCATCATCATCACTGCAATATCCCATGGTCCCAGAAATTCAGATTCTCAATCTGGTAACAATGATATAACAATATAAAGTACATAGGGCCTTCTAAGTACCACAAACCTAAAGACTGGGACCATGTAGGACCAGAAACTTGGGCATCTGTTTGCCCTTAACATTGAGGTATAAGATAATTGGATGGTTTTAAAATAGGAAAAATTCTAGTTATACTCATTCTGCATCCTACTTGAAGGACAGGTGTGGGAGGGGAGAGTGAAAGACTAGAAATATTCTAATGTTATTTTCAGACCTATACTCCAATCCCTGAGTCCCTTACTGATAATATAAAAAAAGGGCAAGGGGACACCATTGTGGTTTCCATTCCATGAAAAATCTACCTGCTAGGATCTGGGCTGATACCAGTTGTATTCTTCAAAGATGTCATCTTCAGCCTGAGTTGAAAAAAAAAGAAAGAAAGAAAGAAAGAAAGAAAGAAAGAAAGAAAGAAAGAAAGAAAGAAAGAAAGAAAGAAAGAAAGAAAGAAAGAAAACAAATGACAGGACTAAAGATGTAGCCATGGCTGCTAAAACTCTAGTTTACATTTCAAGAAATGTTTTATTCCTATTTGTCTTCCTTAGCTATGTAAACCAGAGAAATGCTCTAGTCATAAATCTTGGTTTAAAAATGCACTTAGTTATTCTGTGTTTGTCCATGCTGCAATGACTAGGTTTCAGGATCATAAATTCAGAGCTGGATGGGGTAGTAGAGACCATCTAGTATAACCCCCTAGTGTTACAGATGAGAAACTGAGACCTGGAGAAATTAAAGGACCTGCCCAAGGTCACACGGGTACCAAGTGGCAGAGCTGGGATTCAGACCCAGTTCTCTCAGACTCCAGAGACAATGCTCTTTCCTCTATACCATTCTCTCTGATGTCAGCTAAGAACTTATTTTTATAAGTACTAGGTATAGTGCACTAAAAAGTCCATGGGGACTTTGTAAGTATCAAATGCTAAGTACAGCATTTTTTCATCATATTTTAGATTCAGATGCAATATGTATGCACATACAAGTGGCATGGTTTGACTAAACCTCTAATAGTATAGAGGGGTTTTATTGTACTAGCAATGCTGATAGCAATGACTAACAAGTGGCTTATTAATTAATTCTGGAGGATTAACTATATTAAGATGTGAAGCAGATGGCCTGGATATTGCCAGGGAACTAGACTCACCTCTGTAGCAAAGTCAGCAGTTTTTGTGTCTCTCTGGTTTTTTTGTGATCCGTTCCATAAATAAGGATTTGAATTTCCAAACACTGTGGGTAAATTAAATAAACAAAATGGGAAAAAATTGTCAGATGGCTACTACCTCACATATAAACCTAACTAAGCAGTAGTTGAGAAGAATTGTTATGCTATGTTCTTGAAAATTCAGCAACTTGCTCTATATTTTGCTGATTCTCTTTCAGAAGGAAATAGCAACATTCATGGAGAGCTCTGAAATCACCATTCACATCTGCGTACCACTGAAGTGCAGACTGTAGAAAGCCGAAATAATATGGAAGTAAATGATAACATCATTCAAGAACAAATGCAGTTACAGCAGGAATAACTTCTATGTAGGTAACAAAATACAAGCACACATGAAATCTACATATCATTTACAAAACTGTAAAGTGCTGACTCTTAGGTACATTTCCATTTAAGGAATTATTATTGCTATGTTGAAAGTGGAGGCCAAAAAGTATATATATTTTTTCTGTTCCTCCTCATCTACCCCCTATTTTTAACCCAACTCTCTTCAAAAGCAACACAAAGAGGGAGCTGACTACTGCCCAAGGAGAAAATGAAGAAGGATAGGGAGAGGTAGCATCTTCAGCCCTCTGCGGAATTGTAAAGATTTTACTATCTCTGGCCACTCACCTCTGAGTCATTTCTCACAATTCATTGCCTCCCAAGTTCTTTTTCCCTTTAATATTACTTATGGTTCCCAAGGGAGTTTTAAGGGGACCTCAACTGTCCACTCTCAGAGCTTGATAAATCAGAACTTTGATAAACCTAAAAATAAATTAGAAGCTAAGGAGATGAATAGAATATTAGAAAAGTTAGATATGATAGAACTTTGGAGAAAATTGAATAGGAACAGAAAAGAATATACCATTTTCTCAGCAGCACATGGCACCTACACAAAAACTGATCATGCATTAGGGCACAAAAACCCCCAAATCAAATATAGAAAGGCAGAAATATTAAATGTATCCTTTTAGGTTCATAATGCAATAACAATTACATTTAACAAAGGGCAATGGAAAGATAGATTAAAAACTAATTGGAAACTAATTTAATCCTAAAGAATAAGTGGGTCAAAGAACAAATTATAGAAACAATAATTTCATTAAAGAGAATGACAACAATGAGACAACATATCAAAATTTGTAGGATACAGCCAAAGCAGTACGTAGGGGGAAATTTTTTTATTTAAATTCTTACATCAACAAGCTAAAGAAAGAGCAGATCAATGAATTGGACATGCAGTTAGAAAAAGAACAAATTTTAAATTCCCAATTGAGCACCAAATTGGACATCCTGAAAACCAAAAATGAGATTAATAAAACTGAAAGTAAGAAAACTATAGAGCTAATAACTCTAGAAGCTGGTTTTATGAAAAAGACCAATAAGATAGATAAGCCATTGGTTAAATGCAAATTATTCCTCTATTAAATAAAAGATCAAAAGATATGAACAGGAAGTTCTCAGTGGAAGAAATCCACCCTATCAACAGTCATATGATAAATGTTCCAAATCATTAAGAATAAGAGAAATTTAAATGAAAATAACCCTGTGGTTCTACCTCATGCTTATCCAGTCGGCAAAAGTTGACAATTGTTGGAGGGGTTGCTATAAAACAGACTCACAAATGCACTGTTGATGGAATATGAATGGTCCAGTCATTCTGGAAAGCAATTTGGAACTATTCCCCCCCCCAAAAAAAAAAAGAAAAACTCACCAGACCATATATACCCTTTGACTTAGCAGTACCACTTTAAACCTATACCCCAAAGAGATCAAAGAGGAAAAAGACCTATTTGTATGAAAAATATTTATACCATTTTTTGTGCTGTCAAAGAACTGGAAGTTGAGGGGATATCCATGTCAAATGGGGAATGGCTAAACAAATTATGTTATATGCATGTAATGGAACATTATTGTGCTACAAGAAATGACAAAAGGAAACATTAAGAAAAAAAATTTAGGAGGGGAAATTGACAACAATGGAGAGGAAAGCAATAAGCTGATCAAAAACTATTATATTTAATTATGAGGCAAAAATGGACATTTAAATTCAATGGATGAATATTTACAAAAATACAACATAATAGTAACAAAATGAGAAACAGGTAATCTTTTCAAAAGTAACTTTCTATTTAAAAAGTTCTAAGTTTAAAAAACAAACAACCTAGTCCATATGATATCATTGCTATAACCACATGATTATGTCAATAGGCAGAAAAGCCTTCAACAAAAAGCAGCATTCATTTGCTACAAAAACACAAAAATTCATAGGAATAAAAGGACCTTTATTTAATATGATTGAAAGGATCTATCTATACTAAAAGGTAGCATTATTTTCAGTGGAGAAACACTGGCAACTTTCCCAATTGGATCAGGAGTGAAGCAATTATCTCTACTGCTGCTGCTGCTGCTGTTTTGACATTGTGCTAGAAATGCTAGTTATAGCAGTAAAACAAGAATTATAAATCAATGGAATAATTATAGGTAAAGGGGGGGGGGGAGGCAGTGTTGTGTAGTGAAGAGAGCACCAGCTCCAGAGCCAGATAGACCTGAGTTGTTCAAGTCCTACCTGTGACACATATTAAGCTGTGTTCCCTGGCAGGTCACTTAAATTCTCAGCACTCCAGGCAAATCTCTAAAACTATAAATTTCAGAGAAGATGCTGACCTTAACTGGTAAGAGGAATGTCATTACTAGTGAAATCACAAGTCTAGTTCCATTTTTAAAGAAGAGGCTAAATTATTTCTTCCTGAAGATATGAAGTTGTCCTCTGTATGGTCCTGTTCTGATGCCTCATTAGAGGACGGATGTAATCCTGGCAATGTAAATTCTGACAAGTTCTTCTCTTCCCCCACCTCAGTTTCTGTTTATGTACTGTTCCCCCCATTCAATTGTAAGCTCCTTTAGGGTAGGTATTGTCTCTCCAGCACTCAGCACAGTGCTGGCACATAGTAGGCATTTAATAAATGTCGACCAACTGACCGAAAAAGGCTTTTAATATTGTTGTAGCCACAGACTGAGTTTGCTTCTCAGGACCAGCTTACTGAATGAGCCAGAGCTCACTACCAAAAGGCTGCCCACTTGGTAATGTATTCTTTATTTATGGCAGCCTACAAACAAATAAAAATGCAAAATAACCTTCATTCCTACCTGACTCCATACCACTTCTGTGGTGACAGTAGAGAGCAGAGTGGCAGAAAAGAATGTAGGAGGTATCAAGAATAACATAGTTTTTAGAACATCTATAAACTTTGGTTTGGCTGTTGGTAGTTTAAATGTGAGTTCTTGTCCAATGACAAATGAGTATACACAGTACTGGGGGGAATTAAAACATATTCATTTGTTCTTGGTATAAATGAATCAGGATCTCCTTGGAAAGGCAAACTGAGGAATAGATGGAGTTGGTTTTATCATATTCTGGAAGGCAGCAAGAAATATCATTTCATGGAACATTTCGTCATCTTGTATTGCAATGCATGTGATAAGTATTTGCAAAAAGAAAAAAAAACTTCATGAAAATAATTGCAGAATAACATCTGTTATAGAGAATGAAGAAATATCATTTCATGGAACATTTCGTCATCTTGTATTGCAATGCATGTGATAAGCATTTGCAAAAAGAAAAAAAACTTCATGAAAATAATTGCAGAATAACATCTGTTATAGAGAAAAATTCTAAAAAGAACCTGATGAGACTCCCCCTTCCCCAACAACTCATACACAAAGCCAGTAAAATAGCATATCCTTTGCTACTTAATTAACTTCAACACAAAAGTGAGAATAGGTTAGGATGTCTAGAAATGTATGGAAAGGGGAATGAGATAGGCCAGATAGGAATGAGATTACACAGAAGCCTCCAGCTTTTTTTGAGGGAAAAAATATTTTCTTTGAGAAAAAAAATTGGCAAGCACCGAATAATATCATAAAGATAAAATTAATTTCAGTTTAACAAATAAGAAATGAATTGTTACTGAGAGGGAAGTCATTCCTGAATCAGCTTCTGTGCAGTCTGTGCTTGTTAGAACAAAGATCTAATTGGTCTCCCATCTCCAAACCATTCCTCACATAGCTGCCAAAATAACCTTCCTAATGAGCTAGTCTTACAATACAACCTTTGAGTGCTTTCTATTTGTCTGCAGAATAAAAGACAGGCTCCTTAACATGGCATTTAACACCCTCCACTATCTGAATCTACCTAAGGTTTCCAATCCTATCTCCTCATCTCCTTTCAAATACTTTTATATTCCAGTTAAACTGGGCTATTTTTGCTCAAATTCACCATGCCAATTTCAACGCCATGCATTCACATTCACTATCCCTGCCCTCCAAAACTAGAAAGCACTCTCTCCTGCTCTCTGCCTATTATAATCCTGCTCTTCCTTCAAGACCAGGCTTAGGTGTCACCTCCTCAATAAAGCTTCCTCTGGTCCCCTTCTGTGGAAGTGTTTGATTCTTCTTCAGATTCTCCCAGAGCGCTTTGGAACTCTCCTGTATTACGCTTATCTGTACATGTGGCACATCCATCCCAAACTCCCAGACTTCTCACAGTGCAAGTACCATGAGGTTTTGCTTGTTGTTCAGTCAATTCAGTCGTGCCCATTTGGGGATTTCTTGGCAGAGATACTGGAGTGGCTTGACATTTCCTTTTCCAGATCGTTTTACAGATGAAGAAGATCAGGCAAACAGGATTAAGTGACTTGCTCAGGGACACACAGCCAGTAAGTGTCTGAGGTCACATTTGAACTCAGGTCTTTCTGACTCCAGGCCTGGCACTCTATCCACTGTGCCCCCTAGCTGCCCAATCATGAGATTAGGGAATCTAATTTTTTGTCTTTGTATCCCCATCCACTAGACACACTGTTTGTGTGTAGGTAATTAAAAATGTGTGTTTAACACAATGCCTTACTCTTCCCAGAAGGCCTTTCCTGACTTCTTTAAGAGCTGGTTTATTACATACACAATGTTATTTGAGACCTAATAAGCGCTAGTCACCAGGGAAAGAGATGCCCTTGGACAAAGCAGTGATAGCACCACCATCTTCTCAGTCATCCGGTTTCAAAACCTCAGCATCATTTTTGACTCTTCTAACCTCCCTCCTCCACATATTCAATCAACTGAAAAGTGCATGGATTCTACCTCCATATTACCTACAGTAGCTGATACCACTTCCCCTTCTTTCATTCCCACTGTAGCCACCTCAACTTGGATCCTCACTATCTCTGGTTTGGACTATTATAATAACTGGTTTCTTTGCCTCCAGTTATCCCTTTTCCAATCCATCATTCATCCTACTACTGGAATAACAATCACTCTAATTCACAGGCCTGATCAAATCACCATCTAAACTACATTCAGAGGCTCCTCCTTAGAAAACAGCATAGTCTTTAGCCTGATGTGCAAGGCTCTCCAAAACAGAGTTCCTAACAGGGGAATGAGGCAAGAGCACAATTAATGAAATTAAACTATAGGGTTGGAGTGGAATTGGTAGCAAGACTCACTTGCTACTGACAGGACTGATCCAAGAATCAGGCGGTCAGGCCAATGGTGTGCTAGAGTTGGTTCCTATTGCTCAGATAGCAGACTGTTAAGTTTTCAGTGGGAACATTAACACCTTAGAAATAAGTACTACAAATCAAGGCTTGATGTATTGATTTATTCATTGTCTAGACTTAATAAAATTATAGAGAAATGTTAATATAATACACATTAAACTTAAAATTATGTCATAGGTGCATTTTCCCCAAGAGTTGGTTGTTAAACATTTTCCAGCATACCTCTGATTCAGATGTATAGGGAAGGGTTAAGTGTCCCTAGCTATAAAGGTTAAAGGGGTACAGGGAGTTAGACATGGTAATATAGAATAAACCACGCCATGGAATAATCATTATGCTGCTGTATCATGCGTCAATAGGACAACTAGGCTTTGTTCTTTCCTGGAGCTGAATTCACATAAAGTAACACCATATATGGCTTCACAGAACAACACTCTTATTCATGTTGAATATTCTACTTCTTCCTGATTCTCCTTTACTTCACTACCATCAAGATCATGAGCTACTTCAGAGCCCCAAGCTAACCTTCATACATTCCTAGAGAAGGTGAAGGAACCATATAAGACCCAAGGGATAAACTTAAGGAAACACCTGAAGATGGCATCTGTACTCCACTGGTCTTCCAGGTGACCACTTTCATAGATATTTCCCCATTACTATCAATCCTGTGGTCTACGAACTCCAACTCCCAGACAGCCTAATGGTTTATCCCATATTCCAGTGATCCGTGTTCCACCATGCCAAGTTAGATTAAGAATTGCACCTAGAGCTTATATGCTATCCTTAATCCACAAAGAAATAATTAAAAACAAAACCAAACTACACTTTCTGAATTTCTAAGTCTGCTGAAGGAACCTAAACTGTCCAAGGTAAAAAGGCAACAACTATTTCATGTTCCCACCTGGGCATTGAATAAGCCTCACAAACAAACAAACAAACAAACAAACAAGCAAGCAAGCAAATAAATAAATCTAAGGCACCAGCCATGAAAAGCCTGCTTTATCTGTTCTATCAGTTCCTAACTTCTGCCCATGGACCAGACGACAAGCCTACACTGTATGCTGATCCTACCAAAGGTCCTTGACCATGTGACCAAGTCTTTAGCCTCAGTCCTGAAAATGATCTTGCCTTGTTCAGACTTATGCCTAAGATGGCCATGCTTCTCACCTCACCCAGAACTTGTGAAATACCCAACTGAGATTTCTGCAGTCTTACTGTATCCACCTCACATTTAAACCAAGCCAGTCTGATATTGCCTCACCTGAAGAGGAAGAAGAGATGAACTCAGTAATCCCTAGCATTCTCATTAAACCTCAAAAATTCTAAGTTTATTTCTATGATATAAGGGAAAAAATCTCAAAGTCCCTACTAACTGAGATCAGGAAAAACCACTCGAAATTTGAACCTAGAGTTTTAAATCTAGAACTCATTGGAGGTGCTATTCAAGATGTTTATTATGTGAGATAGCTTGAAATCTCTTAAATGACAGAAAAGATAACATAAGAAAGGCTTCTGGTTTTAAGCAATAAGAAAATCTTTAGGTCTCTATTTTCTGTATGTGTGTGATGTTTAATCCAGTCTATTGTGGCATGAATGTTTGTTACATGTGGTGTTACATACACAGATCAAATAAATCTTGACCATGAATCTTTAAACTAGCTTATTTTCCCCAGTGTAGGCAGAAATCTAAAGAAAGGCTTCATAAAGGCACAAGGAAAGGTCACATGAGAAACTATATGTTCCAGAAGGGAGAAAATAGAATAGGCCACTATACCAAGAAGGTAAAGGTAGTTGAAGAAGCTGTCACTTGCTAATGAGTGTGATCCACCAAGAAGGTAATATGTAGTGTTTTAAAGTGATTTTTTTTTAAAATGTAAAATGTCCCAACCACTGCACAATGGAAAAAGCAGTGGATATTAGTCAGAGGACCTAGTTTTGACTCCTAGCCATGCCATTTATTATCTTGGGCAAACACTTAATCTCTCTGAGCCTCAGTTTTCTTCTGTCCCTAAATCTATAATCCTAACCAATCCATATCTCCAGTGAAGATAGATCATTTGCCTCGTAGCAGAGTTAGACCTGTTTCTGAACCCTAAGGATTCCTGGGTTGATAAAGGCACAAAAGGGACTAACTTTGTAAGTGATCTGAGAAGCTGCTATCAAGATACTATTAGGAGACACCCTGCTTTCCAGAGCTAGGGCCCAGCAAGCAATCTGTGCCCTGAGCTTGACATAACAACAAATCTTTGCGCTCACCCTCTGGATGAACTGATGGTCCCTGAGCTTGAGCAAGCACCAACAGGCCCAGACATGAAGCCCTGCTATGAACAGGCTTTTTGTCACTAGATAACCTTGCCTCACTGTTGCTGTTATTCCTCACCGCTGTTGCTACACTACACTGTTTGACTCTTTGTCTAGCCTCAAGTGTATAAATCGAGGTTAGCCCCACTGCCTCGAGTCCCCCGACTAGGGGCAGGGGCCTGGCACATGTGTCTAGATCCCTCCTTGCTTGAAAGCCATTTTGCTCACTTTGAAATTAAACTTCTGTTTGAATTCTGACGCTCCTTTCTCTAGCCTGCTCTGTTTGGCTCTGGCCATCCACAGGTTAGAGGGCTCTAACCTCCCTCTCTATAGTCTCCTTGTTTTCCTTCTATTCTAATTCCTCTGTAGAATTTACAAACAGTGAGAATCTTCAGCTCTTTCTTGAAAAGTCTTGGATTTGCAGGATAAGAAGGGGAAAGGGAACTATTAGCTCCTTTTGTTCTGTGGAAGAGACACTAAATCCCCTCTCCAGCTACTGAAAAACAAAAGTCACTCAATCTCTATCTGATAGGACCCTACAACTATCAAGTACTAAGGGCACTCTCATTCTTCCAAGCGGATTTTCTTCAGTATGGGGTGATTTAGGTGAAGCCTTTGCTAAAGTTCAAAGGGACGTGAACAGCCTTCCAAAAACATCCACATTAGAGGTTTGTGGTACAGATTCGTAATCAGAGTTGGACTGATGAAACAAAACAAAATTGGAAATCACCTTCCTTAGTAGTTGAGTGGTCTTTTTTATTTCTCCCTTGGCTAGGCAGATGCTGCCCAGAATATAGAAAGTTTCCGCCACTTTCTCACTATAGTCACCATAGCTCATCAGTTGGGACTTCAGTGAGTTCTTCAGAAGTTTATAAGCCTCCTAGGAAATGAAAATAAGCCATTAGTGTGATATGTTTGAAGGAACACATTGGCTGCCAATTGATTCATCCCTATGGGCTCTAGAGAAGGTATAACTAAGATGCCAGAGAAAGGGCTAATTCTCTCCCATGCTTCCCAAGGCTCTGGAATAGTCTTTGCCATTCTCAAAGTATAGAAACCCCCCCCCGCCCCACTCCCCCACCTCCCCAAAAACAAACAAAATAAACTAGTAGCTTTAGATTCTGGTTTTGTTCTGTTTTTTAAAGGGGGGAAATTAAAGTGTTATTTAGTAGGAAATCACATCCTATGTATAAATTTTGAGAATCTGCCCCAAATGTTCACATTTTTGTGAACGTATTTGTGCCTGACCAGTGGTAAAGCATTCTGAGCTTTTAAAATTTTGTTCCCCAGTTCCTTAAAAATAAATTTTTGTCAGTTTTTAAACAGTAGTCATTAAGGTAGAAATGGAAAAAGGAAACATTATTTTCACATTTCAAAGTTAGGATGACAATGATTTCCCTCAGTGCAGTTCCCTTGAATTCAATAAAGTAAATGTTGAGTTCTTACAGGGTCCCTGATGTTTCTCACAGTGGAAGGAGGAAGGTGAAAGTTGGTTAGTTTGGGTCAGTCACATGTGATCTCATGATTGGAAGCTTTCTTGCTCACTACATTCTGCCTTGAATACAAGAGAAAGGTCAAAGGTTCAATTTCCGGGCAAGTTTTCTGATGATGATCCCCATGAGCCTTGTAAGTGAAAAGGCCAGGAATAAAATGCATTCTTTGTGTTCATTTTTTCCTTTGAGTGAGAACAATAACCATGGTTAAGAGGAAGCTGAGTTGGCTTTGGGTACTCAAGAAACCAAGGTATAAAAGTTGAGCCTGGAGTCAATGGTTAATTGTTGTCCTTCATTCTTGAAGAGGACCAAAATGGTAGAATTTTACTATAATAGGCATTCTGAATATGAAGTCCTTTTCTAAAGACCAACAAATAAGTTGGAAGAAGTGAACCACATGAATAATATTAATGTTCTTGCAATTAACCTAACCAAAAGAAAGATATAGTTAAATGGAAGGATGGATCACAGGTTTTTCTTAAGAGAGGCAAACAAAGGACCTGTCATCACTGGTTTCATTATATTCTCAAAATCAACACAAAGACATTTGACTATTTTGTCTTTCAGGGCTTGTGGTAAGAAAAAAAATGACCACAAGATGACTATGGTTTATGTACCAGGTTTTAGGAACATTTAGAAAATTCTAATAATTGAATCTGATATACTGTAGAGGATGATTCTATAAAGAATATGAAAAGATCTTCCAAACTAAGTCAACATATACTTTGATGCACGGTGACTTTGCAATGAGGAAGTGAGGACTGGTGAGAATTATAAAAAGTATGTTGGAAAATTTGGCTGAAGTTTGAGAAACAAAATAGCCCAAAGCCTTGTAAATGACTGAGAATCTCCATAGCTATGAATATTTTTATCTGAAGATAGCTGGGCAGTGAAGGACATGGTGAGCACCAATCATAATCATTAAAACATGAAACTGACTATATCTTTACAGGAAATGACTTGTTAACTGATGAGGGAATCAGATTAGAATCAGCCATCTGTGTGCTGTCAGAACTAGTTAAAGCAAAGGCCAAAAATCAATAGCACATTAGGACAGAGGCTTAAAAAGGGAGAAAATCGTGAATAATTTTATAGATTCAACCTCACTTATTCAAACAAGCCATTAATGAAAAAAAAGGAAATGAAAAAAGACAAAGTCATTTATATGATTATTACTATTTCCTGTAAAAGTTGAATATTAGCAAACACTTTACCTCCTTTCCAGAGAGACAAGGAATCAACAGGCTACACTGGTTTAGAAAACAAACACTAAACAATACAAAATATGACAGAAAATTACTACCATGTCACTTCATAGAAAAACACACTTCAAAATGACCAAAATAGACCCAAATGAGCCACACCACCCCAAGATCATTAATAGATGAAATCAGGAGGGAGATAACAAAGAGAAAAAGAAAGAAATTGGTCAGTGTTTTTATAATGCTCTATTTTTATTTTCCACTAACAAAGAAGCCATGCCATGTGGAGTCTAAAAACCTTAGTCTCCCAGGCAGAGAAGGAAGCTGACTGAGCATTAAAGATTAGATAAAGAAAAGCAGTTGGATCAAACCAAGTAAACACCAAGGAAATCCACATGAGAGGCAACATTCTCTTGAAAGCACCGAGGGATCTTTTTATAGAAATCTCACGAAGGAAAAATAACAAAGGAATTGGGGGGGGGGGGAAACCATGATCAAAAACAAATGGTTGAAGGAAGCATCAATAACTAATGACCCATTTGGCTACTTTTCTCATCTTCATAAAATCTTGATAAAATGATTTGTATAGGTTTTGAGGTTTATCTTTCAATTCAATTTTTAAAACCGTTTATCAAGTGACTATATTACAAGGAATTCGTGCTAGGCACTGAGGATACAAAGACTAAAAAAAAAAATCTCTGCCTTCATGGAATTTGCATTCTACTGAATGGAAATGAGTTGGGAACAGGAAGGCTTTTGCAAATAAATCTCTACAATGGACCACATCTTTACATTCATACAGTTGACTGTAAGGTGGAGAGAATACAAAACTCATTCTGCTATATTGATTGTTAATTTTTTTTAAAGGCATTTGACTTGGTAGAGCAAAATGAAACCTTAAAAAAAAAAAGAGTTCCTTGTTAAGCATGCTGTAATCATACAAAATTCCTTGATAAATGCAGCCATAGATAAAATTCTGTTCAATGACCCTGTGGGTTATTAACTTCAAACAAATTGTAAAACAGGTATGCTAACCAAACACGTTTGCCATGTCACTGAAGGATATCTTACATCCTCCCTAATCGTTAAACCTTAGTTGATGTCATTAAAAACTTAAAATTTTAAAGACTGCCCAAAGAATTTTTAAATATACATGTGTGAAGATCATGTGACACTTATTACAAATTACAGTCTCACTGTTTTACAGTCAAGATTTTAATGAGTATAGAAAAAGTGTCACTATACTACCTTTTACTCATAGAAGGGTACCAAGGATACTCTTCTAAGCCTATAATTCCTTTATCCACCTGAAAAAGGTCCTGTAGTTTATGCTATTATCTCCATCTGACATTAAAGGCTCGAAGTAGTTCATGATTTTTGCCCTGGTTAGGATTTAGAAGAAACTTGCAAAATAGTGTCTTACTGTAGGGACTGTCATCTCCATCCAAAAAAGAGCCCTGAAGAAGATGGAAAAGGATTTACTGGAAAGTGAAGTGGACATGGATTTTGTTCATACTGCTGTTTTGCTTCCTCACTATTGGGGATCTATTGCTTCTAGCTCAAACAAAAAATGTGGAGTAGATCCTTGGTGTCACTTCCCTTTCTATGCTTCTCTCCTATCTCCTGTCATTCTGTCTCCTCTGTCTCTTAGGTACCCAATGCAAGCTGCCTTCTAGCTTTCTAAAGACTCCCAGAGACCCCATTCAGGCCTGGCCTGCCAACCCAGAATCACCCTACACTTAGAAATTACTTGGGTCTCCTTCCTTCATTGGCCCTACCCCTCAACCCAACTGCCCTTCTCTTGAGACCGATTATCTCAGACAGCTCTTGGTAGAGATTCAGGGATTTAACTAAGATGGGGGGGGGACGACGACTAGATAGTCTGGATCAACTCTCCCAGAGATATTTCCATTTTGAAAGATAAAGCCCACTTTACCCACCCACCCCACCCCCCAAATTAGTTTTTAAGGTTGATTTCAGCAGAGATATTTTTGAGGAAAGAGAAACTTCCTAGTATCACTCAGATTATATGTCACCCAGAAGACACTGTCTAGGTGATAGAAAGAACACTGGCCTTGGACAGGAGACCATGATTCTGGTTCTGCTAGTAACCAGCTGTATGTGACCTGGAGTGAGTCTTTTAACCTTCTTTGGCCTCAGTTTCCTCCTCTGTAAAATGATGGAGGAGGGGTTGGTCCAGGTGATCCTTAAGGTCCCTTTCAGCTCTACGATTCTAGGTTATTGAATGTGTTGCTACAGCTGAAGTGAATAATTGTGATAAATAATTAAAAGGTTCTCCCCTTCCACCATTACCACCACCACTCCCTCCGGGCTCTAAAATTCTGAGATCCTAATAAGCGTAAATCCTAGAGATCAAGACTTATAACTGCTCTTTCATGATTACCTGTTTTTCTCCAATTTGGAGAAGCCATTTGCTGAATTCCTCAGTGGCACACAATGTATAATAATTATCTGGGCCCAGCGCAGTTTGGTATGCCTTGAGGCTGTTTGTAAAATACAGCTCAGCAGCATCTGAAAAGAAATGGAGCAATTGCTTGGGCAGATTTCAGTCAAGGCTTCAGGAGATCATGATATCAGATTTTTACTATAAGGAAAACCCACGAGTGGGGATTCTCATAACCCAGGGGTCCATCAGAGCACAGGTGTATGGAATTCTTAAGTGTTAGGGGGGCCAGTCCTTTAAGTAAAGTTAACACTGAGTAGTAAAGATATAAAACTGTTGTCTGCAATTATTGTAAAGGCACAGTTATGGCTTAAATTTAGACCTAAAATAAAATTACCTACCAAATTTTCATTATATGAAAAGTTGAAATTACCCAACTCTACAGACATGAACTTCTTTATTCTTTAAAAAAAATAATAACTTGACACAAATACCCACTATTCATGAATACACTAAGTTCCACAGAATAATAAAAGGCAGTGAACACAACACAAACATAAGATTACTTAGTACATACTAATGTATGTGCATGAAAATGAAGAAAAAAAGGCAGCAGAATCACTGGAAAACTTTATCCAGTGACATAGGATGAAATATTTACTTTGCCCTCCATCCTAAAGTATGTCTACTGAAATAAATAATAGTGAAAATATAAAGATGTCTTTTCCATTGACTTAAAAAAACTACATTCTTCACAAAGTCTAATATCTTATTTTTTTTAAAAAAATACAAGTCCAGATGGAGTTCAGCTACTACAAGTGTATTCCCACTCCCATTTGTGAATGATACTATTTCTTGTTGGTCCAAGGCACCAGAGAAAGGCCAAAACTTTGGATTAGCTTACAGTGTAGGGGCAGAGAACACAGTATTTTTAATTCTTGTCACCAAACTCCTTGATCTACTCTCCCTTTCCAATATGAAATTCACAGTCGTGTAGAACTAAATTATCTCCCATTAACAATCTGTGGGGCAGCTAGATGGCAGAGTGGATAGAGCACCAGCTCAGAAGTCAGGAGGACCTGTGTTCAAATCCAGCCTCAGACCAAACATATGACCCTGGGCAAGTCACTTAACCCCAGTTGCCTTTAAAAAAAAAAAGACAGCCTGTTTATTTTTGTCAATGTTGCTGAATGCCTAAGGAAATAAAAATAGAAATCAAAGATTTAGAATATAGAAGGAGTAATCAATACCTAAGGTGATTTTTCACTCTTATGGACTTTTTTTGCTTGAAATGTATGCATTACCAAATGCCTTTATTACTATGTCTGAATACATAGTGCTTACAGTTTCAGCAACCTAAAATTGGCAACAATTTTATTCAAGATCTAGATGCAAGTATTTTAAAAAATATGCTTAAATTCAACTACTTACTGCTTTCCTTCTTATGTAATATTTCATGCAATTTCCTTGGAAAATGTTAGTTATATACAATAATATCTGTCTAAATCGCTGTCCTTAATCTACTTTAAATATTATTTGTAACCAAATGTGATGTGCACATGTTTACAAGGAGCTTTTCCAAAAGGTAAGTATTGTCCTCTCTTACCTTAATGGATTGGGAAATTATGCTAAATATAAACCCATCTCACCTACATACCCTTGTGTTGTGGCTCTCCAGACATGGCATAAGCTTTAGCTAGCAAGAAACCTGTCTTAGCAGCTTCAGCACTGAGTTCTTTGTATGAAGCCACGCAGATAGAATGAGCCTGGAATAAAAATACAGATATTAACTAATTAGCTCAAAGAAAGCACCCATGTAATAGTGCTTCCATATTTTTTTAAAATTTTAATAAAATCTATAATAAGAATAAAGTCTAGACTTTTGGTTAACTGATCATACTGAACATAAGAGGGACAAAGTAATGGTCTGAAGAATAAAGAAAAAGGCAAACCTTCTAATCCAATCCCACCAGAAATGAAAAGCAGCTCAAGACCACTAAAGTTAGCAAAAATACCACAAGATCTCTGCATTCTCTGAATTCTAATTGTGGTCATTACCACGTGACTTCTTTATGTTTCTAAGCTCTCTGCAAATGGCACTGGTCCCCACTGATGGTGTTCCCACAACTCTAGGGGCTGGGTTCCCTGCTCAATATTTTTCAATGTTCTTTTGCTGTCCTATGTACTTGTTTTATGTTCTCAGTCAGTCTATAAATTCCTGGAGACCACTCCCTGTATTTATCCCTCACAAAGCCTAATGATGGTGAGCATTCATTCAACCAACCAATTATCTACTAAATGCCTACTACTGGCAAGGCATGGTGTTAACTGCTATTCTTATGCATAGTAGGTAATCACAAATCCTTGTGGATTGACTGAAATACTTACTACCTTTTTTAGATTATGAGCTACTTGATCAGCCAAAATGTTCTCAGCCAAGGATAACCTATCCCATCTGTTCACCATCTGATGAGGGCTACCATCATTTGGTGATGCCACCATCAAAAACAAAACCAAGCACAAAAACGCTTCCCAGAACTGGTGGTAAGGCATCAATGAGAGCCTTTCTCCTTTATGAAATTACGAATTCACACCAGAATCAAGAAAATAGACATTACCTTATTACAAAGATTAATGTCATGAGACGACCCAGAAGTAGCTAAATGGTGCAGTAAGATAAGAGCACTGGGCCCAGTGGAGTCAGGAAGACCTGAGGTCAAATCCAGCCTCAGACACTAAATAGCTGTGTGACCCTGGGCAAGTCACTTAACTCAGTTTCCTCAAATGTAAAATGAGGATAATGATAGCACCTACCTCCCAGGATTGTTGTGAGGATCAAATGAGATAATATTTGTAAAGTGTTTAGCACAGTACCTTAATAAATACTTACTCCCTCCTCCTTTCCCCTCCCTGAAAAACTCCTGTGGCTCACCAAAGATCAATGGATCACACTTTCAGAAGAGATTGGTATAGAATGTAAATAAAAGTAACATTTTACATATATGTATGTGTTGTTATATATGTATATATAACTACACATATACACATATACATATACGTGAGTATGTGTATGTGCACATACATATTTATATAAACTATGAACCTACCCCTCTTCCCTTCTCAGAGCTAAGGTGGTGGTGGTAGTGGTGGTGTTGGTGATGCTGGTGGTACTAGGGGAGGATTATGCCTCTCACATGTTGGAGGAATAAGTTTGTATGTTTGTGCTTATGCCTTTTGAAGTAAATATTTCTGTGTAAAAGCTAGAGTAAGTGTTAGTAGCTAAACGGAACTGGAGAGCTGGGAACCTTCCCCCCTACAGTTGTGGGAACACCATCAGTGCAGACTAGTGCCATTTGCAGAGAACTTAGAAACTCCCAGAAACTGCCTAGAAACTTCAGGTAGGTGGCACAGTGGATAGAGTCAGGCCTGGAGCCAGGAAGATTCATCTTCCTGAGTTCAAATCTAGCCGCAGATATTTACTAGCTAGGTGACCCTAGGCGAGTCACTTGACCCAGCTTACTTCAGTTTTTTCATCTGTAAAATGAGTTAGAGAAGAAATTGGCAAACCACTCTAGCATCTCTGCCAAGAAAATCCCAAATGGGGTCATGAAGAGTCAGACATGATTGAAAAATGACTGAACAACGACATAGAAACCCCATACCCCCTTAAGAGTACTGGAGAATATGGGGGAAAGGTTAAATGTAATCTACCTGTCCTTTTAGGTAGTGCATATATAAAAGCTCCCTAAACTTTTCTCATGGGAAAGTCTCATTGTTCTTTCCAAAGGGTTTTTTTTCTTTTTGTCCTGGAATGTGGGCAAATTAGTTAACTCTAGATAAAACACTTGTCATCTATCCTTATACCTAGAAATATAACCAGACACTAGATTAAAGGTCAAGTGATGGAATCACACCAAATTATCATGACTTAGCATTTTAAAAGTTTTCTACTTGTTAACAATTTAAATTCAGTTGTTACCAATTACTCTTGCTGTTGGGAAGGTACAAACTTGGCTTCTAGCTTCCTGGAGACAACAGAACATAACAGAAACTTCTACTTCATATTAGATAGGAGAAAACATGGTATGATGGAAGGGGAAAAGGAATAAGCATTTACATAAAATCTACCATGTGCTATGTGGATAGAGGACAGGGCCTAGAATTTGAAAGACCAGAGTTCAATTTTGATCTCAGACACTTACTAGTTTGTGTGACTCTGCGCAAGTCATTTAATCTCTGCCTTAATCCACTGGAGAAGGAAATGGCAAGCTACCCAGTATCTTTGCCAAGTAAACTCTACATATGGTATGGTCCACAGGGACATGAGTTGGATACGATTGAACAACAACATGTTCTTTTACAAATGTTATCTCATTCGGAGCTATGATTCTAGAAGCATGAGACCTGGATTAAACCCTGCCTCTGGCACCACCTATGGTAGTCTTGGCCAAATCAGGTAACTTCCCTGGGCCTCGGTTTCTTCATCTGTGAAATGAAGGGCTGTACCTAGATAGTACCTGAGGTCCTTTCTATCTCTAAAATCACAGATCCTATGATTGAACTGAATCTGGTTCAGGTAGCATTTCTACATTAGGTTTCATCCTGAAACCATCCACTCAATTCAGTTAATCAAAGAGAAGCTGATGGAAGGATTCCCTGGCAGGTTTGGGACTTCAGTCAAATGAGCAGAACAGAGACAATTCTACTCTGCCCTCTTTTTCAGGTCTCTAGCTTCCTTGACATCGTAGCTATGAAGGCCAAGTAGCAAGAACCTGGGGTTCTAACCAATTCACTTACCTGCAGCAAGTGTTCAATGGCTCGGTCATGGTTTTTCCTGAGCTGTTCAACCTGTGCAGCTTCCTGATACAGGCTGATCAGTTCTGATGTGGAATCGCCCTTGGAAGAGATAACATGGGTGATTGCTTTTTCAAAGTAATTCACAGACAAGTTCAATCGGTGAAGTTGCAAAGCAGCTCTGCCCGGAAAATAGAGAGGGAAGACACATGCCACAAATTAAGAAGCTCCATGGGAAGTAATGGCTCCTATAGCCCACATTTGTCCAGAGCTCATGGCCTCTGACATAGACCCACCAGGGAGAACAGGGAAAGGCTCAGAAATTGTTTACAACGGTACAATCACCATTGACCTCATGACGCAGAAGCTTTATTGTTCAACTCTTTGGTGTACTCTGGGCCTAGGACCTCAGTCAATCTAAACCACAGCATTTCCCTCAGCATGACATAAATACATATATGAAGTGGGAGCTGCCGGGCCAATGAGCCTTTTCAGGGCTGCTCTGCTCTGCTTAGCCATGAGGAAGCCTGGAGTAGCTCTCACAATTTAACTGTTCCATTTGATTCAATGCCTATTTATTTATTCATTGGCATATATGTATTAAATGTTTACTAATGTGTAGGGCAATTCCCTAGGCACTGAAACTGAAAACAAAGCAATCCAGTTCTCAAGGAGTGTTTCTTTCTTACTAATAGCTAGCATTTATATAGCACTTTAAAGTTTGGAAGCAATTTACATATATTAGCACATTTGATCCTTTATTCTACCCCACTGAAACCCAGACTACTGGTAGGCAAAGCATTTAAATACCTAAAATGTAATTATACATGAGGATGGTGACAAGGAGGCATATCATCTAAGGCCCTTTGATATTATTTTTGAAAATAAATGTGGCTAGGCTTTTTAGGATTTAGAGCTGGAAGGGACTTAAGAGACCATTTAGAGCCCAACTCTTTCATTTTGTAGGTAAGGAAATTGACACAGATAAATTAGCTGATTTGCTCACTTAGAAACTAGAAGAATTAGAAACCTAAACTAGCTTCTCTGACACCAAATCCACTGAACTTTACAAAATTCTACTCACCATGGCTCACAGGTATATCCCTGTGTTAACAGTGTAGGTCCAAAGCCTTCATACAATAGCTAGTAATACACAGCTAGGTGATGCAGTGGATAGAGAGAACGGGCTGAGAATCAGAAAGATTTATCTTTGAGAGTTCAAATCCAGCCTCAGACACTTAGTAGCTGTATGACCCTAGGCAAGTCACTTAGCCCTGCTTGCCTCAGTTTCCTCATCTGTAAAATGAGCTGGAGAAGGAAATGGCAAACCACTACAGTATCTTTGCCAAGAAAACCCCAAATGGGATCACGAAGTGTAGGACACAATTAAAATGAATGGAACAATAATACACAATGGGATATCATTTTAAAACTTCCTAAAGTACACATGTGTTTTGTTCTAGCTCTAAACTACATATCTCAACTGAGTTAAAGTTGTTGGCTTACAAAGGCTCATAGGGAAGCTTTAGTGCAAGTGAAGGCTACCTAGATAGACAGAACCCTAACAATCAAGTCTCACAAACAAAGATTCCTTTCTCCCTATCTAAAAAAAAGGGGGAGCAAAATTAGCTACCATTTTTGTTAGTAGATCATCCTATCAACTTTCCTTCATGACAAAAGTATCTGTACAACAGACAAGTTTAGGCACCTCTGGGCTCAGTTTAATTTAGTTCTGAGCATTCCAGTGTTTCCAAAATTTCCCAGCTGACTCAGCTCTCCTTAGTTCCCTCTTGCCTGGAGAGGATAGATAGAGGTACTGCGTTTACTTTATTGATTTTCTACTCATTCATTTGCTTCCCATTCCAAGTACCTTAAGACTCTGGGAAACATCTGATGAAAGCATGTGGAAATAAATGAAAAATCTGGGGAGAGGGGAAACACTTTTTTTATCTGACAAACTGGTTAGTCTTGCTTTCATCGATACTAATCTACAAATCTCAGGTAATCTCATTCAACTATGTTCAGGCTCCACTTGTTCCTTCATAATGTTTCATGAGCTCCATTTTCTTTATCCTTTTCTTTCCTTCTCTCTCTCTCTCTCTCTCTCTCTCTCTCTCTCTCTCTCTCTCTCTCTCTCTCTCTCTCTCTCTCTCTCTCTTTTTTTGGAGGTGATCAGGGTTAAGCAACTTGCCCAGGGTCACACAGTAAGTGTCTGAGGCTGCATCTGATTCCATGGCTGGTAATCTATCCACTGCACTACCTAGTTGCCACTGCTCCCTGCCACCAACCGTGAACGGCATTTCATATGCAAATTTAGTCTAGTTTAAATTGAATAAAAATGTATGTTAGCTTCCATCTTCATTAAATACATTGGGTACTTGGGGGGGGTGTAATCTAGTGAAAAGAGCACTGTAATTAGAAGACCTGAGTTCAAGGACTTCTGTCATTTTGGAGCTATATGACCCTGGACAATCCATCTGTTTGGGCCTCAGAGCGTAAAGATAAGCAGGTCCAATTATAACTTAGAAAGTCCCTTCTAGTTCTAAACCATCTGACTATAATAGTGTTCTTTCTTCATCTACTAGTATTGATTTAGCAACAAAAGAGAAAGATAATTTAGAAAAAGATCTGTTTCAAAATGAGTCTGAGTTACTCGTCTTTCTTAATTTATTATAGGGATGCTTTATTTTTACTCCACAAGGATAACATGGAATGATTATGTGCAATATGGGCCCCATCAAAAAACCCTAAATTTCTCTAAATCAAGTGTTTACCTGCCCAAAGCAATTATGAGGTCTTTCTCAGAGACTTTTAAGTCTCTAACTATGGCCTGGCCTTCATGACATTCCCATAATTCCTCCATGCTCTTCTCAGACTTCTGAAGATTGTAATAAGCTTCCTTGCCAGTGCAAAAGTTGAGGAAAATTAAAATAATAAAAACCAAATCCCATAGCCAGGTACAATATTTGAGAAGCAAACAAAATGCTTCAATTGTCTGTTGGGTCAACAGGGCAAACCTTGAAAATAACCACTTCCCAGGCCTCTCCATTCTCCCTGCTGATGCTCTCTTAGGGAAGAAATCTTTAGCAAGCAAAAATTAGGCTTCCTTTGATGGCTACCTAAAATGGGCATTAGCAGGTAAGAGCTTAGAAAAGTGAAAGGAAACCATTAACTTTTAGGGAAAAATCCACTTATATTTCCCTTAGAGGATTACACTATTACTGACAATTGTTCCTTACCCTGGAACTAGTTTCTATGAACTCTGAAGGAATGGGATCTAAAGTTGATGAATAAAGTCCTTACAGATTCTAAGTAAGCTCTAGTAAAAAAGAGTCTAACTTCTGTCAGATAATTTTTAGTATTTTGGGGAGTGGGTGTGGCAGAGGAAAAGTCTCCCCCCAAATCCCAAATATCTTCTATTTCCTTCATTTTTTCTACGCTTTAAAGATCCTGTGATGACGGTACCATAGAAGGCTGCACATCTCATAGGAGTAGAGTTGTTTACAATGTGCATGCTTGGAATTATTGGGGTAAGGACCAAATAGTGGTAATAATTTACATGGATCCAGAGTAATAGAATTCAGGAGTATCTTAGATGTTTCATGTACCCAGCAAATGTTAAGTGACATTAAATAGTGGTTCCAATCACAGGCACTTGGAAGAGAGAGGCAGGAACTTTAAATATATGTATGTGTGTGTGTATATATATATATATACACACACACACACACATAATATAAGTAGACTTGTGTCCTCTTCATTTTAAACTCTGACTTCAATGGGACAACTTTACATGTGTGTGTGTATAAAATCATGGTAATTAAGTTTCCTTCAAATGACCCCCCTCCTCCCCTAGTCAATCCTCCCTAAACTAGTGTCAGAGGTAATCTTGATTCCATATGGGGCTCTATGATGTGGTAGGACATCATACAGCACAGGGGATCCAGAGGACTTTCAACCAAATGTACTTGGGAAGGAGTCATCATAGTAACAACTTGATACAAAGCTGTTAATTTGGTGACTGGATCATAATTCTAACGATTCTGGAATAGAGAAAGAGATGGAGGGATTGAGGAAAGTTGAGATCTTGGATTAGAACTAGAAGGCTTTGGGATTCAAATTCCCATCTGTCCCATCCAATGATGTTCTCTTATGTTTTTCTGAATCTGCAGTTCTCAGAGGAACAATCAAAAGTAAAATCCTCACAGAAGTAACAAGGTTGATTTGATGCCATATCCCCCAGTTGATTTCTAAGTACACTGCTAGAAATGAAAGGATATTGGTTCTGCATGAGGTCCGACACCCCCAAAGTATAGTATAAGGTCACCAATGTGCCAAGGATCTCCTTCTTATCTATATCTGAGATTTCTGAGCCCTTCCAGGTCAGTAGAGAATTCTTTGCAGACTCAGCATGTTGCTTGGCCTGAGCAGGGAGTTCTAGGATAGGGGAAGGGGAAAGAAAACAAGAGAAAGAAAAGAAAACCAAGAATACTTTTCAATTTAAAAAAAATTCCATTTGAGAGCAAGAGAGGAGCTAGAGTAACAGTAAGGCACAAAGCAGTGGTCTCCAAACTTTTTTGATTACACAAGATTATTGGTAAACATTCTTTGAGCACCTTTCCCAATGTAATATATTTATAAATTATATGCTTGTACATTATTCTAACCAGTTGATTTCAATACTTAGTTTTAATGGCTATCATAGCTGAAGAAGACATTTCATAAAGATAAATAGCTCCAAATAGCAGTATGTTGTTAGTGGTGATTATTAAATTATTAAATCATGATACTCATATTTCAATCTCATCTAGGAATTATGCAAATGTTGTTTGTTGAAACATGACTAGCAAATTTCCATTTTCCCTGAAGTCAATCAGCTATTTTTGTAAACTAATTTGAAATTGTTCCATTTTATTTTTTTAACGTATGGTTTCAAAACCCATTGCAGTTCTTCATTTGGAAGATTTTTAAGTAGGTCAGACAATTATTTTTCCAAGTTTTTTAGAGTATGCAAATATGTGAGTTTTTACTGGTGAAACACACCATTTTTGACAACAAAATCACCTAACAATGGAAACATTTCTGAACTTCCATTTTTCAAAATGCTCTCTCCATACTATGTTTCTTTTTAAAAAACCAGTTACTTTCTCACTCATTATTGAAACATCACATATGTCTGATAATTCGGAAACTAACACATATATGTAACCCCAAAAATGTCCTCTCCTCCTCCACCCCATTGTTGGAACCATAATGAAATAAATTCTGTCATTCTGTGCTAGTATGAGAAGGAATAGAAAGGCCAGTTTTTCTGAACAATAGAATACAAGGAAGGGAGCAATATATAACGAGACTGGAAAGTTAGGTTGAGAATAGGTTTTGAAGGGTTTTAAATGTTGAACAGGAAACAATGTGGTATAACGGACAGTGTGTTGGGCTTGTGAGTCAGGAAGTCTTGAGTTCAAATCCTTTTTCAGATTTACAAATTGTGTGACACTGAGCTCGTTACTTTCTCCTAGACTCAGTTTACTCTTCTATAAAATAAAGATAATAACAGCAAATACTCCACTGGATTGGTAGGAGGATTAAATGAAATGGTCTATGCAAAGAATTTTGCTAACTTTAAAGTTTTATATAAATGTTAGCTATTATTATTATTAATAATAGTTAGTGTTTGTCTGACTGATTGGTTGAAAGATTGTAGACAGTACCTTTATATTATTTCAAAGATCAATAACAGTGGTTCAGCAATTATAGCTGCCAATTCTCGTATTATTATGGGATGTTGTTTTTAATAGAACTGGAAACTTGAACTTGTCAAAGGCAGTTTGCTCTGACTCTTTCCCTTATGCTGGCATCTCAGTACTATCAGTGAGTAGGTCCCTGGATCACAGGCTACCGGAGGCATTACAACTGTGGATGCCAGAGATGTCTTGAGATAAAGGACAGAGAACTGTCCTGTGAGTTGGCTGGTAGAAGAACCCCCTTATGAGGAAATATCTTCTACCAATGCGTGTTGCACTTTCTCTGCCATTTGCAAGGGCAACTAGGTGGCACAGTGGATAGAGTGCCAGTCCTGAAGTCCAGCCCTGAGTTCAAATCTGGCTTCAGACACTTATTTGCTGGTGTGACCCTCGGCAAGTCACTCAACCCTGTTCACCTCAGTTCTTCATCTGTAAAATGAGATGGAGGAAGAAATGGCAAACTTCTCCAGTAGCTTTGCCAAGAAAACCCCAAATGGGGTCACAGAAAGTCAGACAGCAACTGAAAGTGATTAAACACCACCACCAAGATACAATTTATAAACTGAGAAGTTAAGACTTGCCCAGGGTCACAGAGCCTTGTATGTATCAGAGGTAAGATTTCAACCAAGGTTGTCCTGGTTCTGAGGACAGTTCTCTATCCTTACTACCTTTCAATAATACTGAATGACCTGCCCTGCCAAAATAGAGGCGAGTGGCCAGACCGGAGGATCATCACTAGTATGTAGTTACTATTCTTATGAGCTGATGTATAGAGGCAGGGGACTTATTCTTTAACAGTACATCGTCCTCACCATGTGCCTAATACTACTGCTCCTTTCTTGTTTTCTAGCCTAGATATTTGTGGTTTTTTTAAAACTAATTATGTTTGAAAGCATACTTTCTATTGTGCATACCCTTGTGTGAGGGAGCGTGATTTTTTTTTCTAGCAGAAAGTCTTTAAAGTGATGGATGTGAGAGATATTGTGCATATTGAATTGACAAAACTTGGCAAATTATTTTATATGGGCTGATATGATATGACATGAGGCTGATGGAAAAGTGGAGGATGATTCTAGATTGCAAACCTGGGTGACTTAAAGAGGTGTTGGTGGAGGATTTGACAGTAATAGAGAGTTAGGAAAAGGGATGGGATGGGTTTAGGCCACTTTAGGGGGAAAGAAAACAAGTTACCTTTTGGACACCCTCTGCAACAGATATTGGTGTGTAAATCATGATTACTTTCATAGCAGCCTTTTTACAAAAGCTTATGAGGAACAATGTAATATGAGATGACCAAGTGTCCCATGAAATTATGTTTCTTATTTCCTGTGGAAGCATAAAAAAAACCCAAACAAACCCAACCCCACCAACTTCTTTATTTTTGCTTCTCCAAATAGAACCTATAAACCATCCTTCTGTTCAACATTTTTCAGTTGGGTTCTTGAAGGTTAGGCTAGCAAACTGCAAGTTCTGACAGATTTTACCATGATGCAAAGGTCTCAAGAGCAAACCTGGTGACAGGCTGTCATTGCTTTCCCCCAAGATCACTCTAAATACGGAAAGGCTTATAGAGTAACAGGCTGGCCACTAGATGATTGATCTTTTCATCATGGCAATCCCTGAAACAAAGAAAACTACAACAGACCTGTGTAGCCTCCTTCCACTTCTGCAGTGACTGTCACAAATGGCCACACCAAAAAGTAAATAAGAGGTAGCAAAGGATGCTAGTAAATCACAGTTTTTAAATCAGTGATTAACATTGATTTAACTGTTGGTACTGTCAACATGAGATCATTATTTGGCAACCAGTAGGGGACATATTCCTAGAGAGGGGCCATCTTCAGTCATTCTGATCTAAATCTTGCCACTGGACCCAGATGGCTCTGGAGGAGAAAGTGAGGCTGGTGACTTTGCACAGCCCCCCTCACTTAAATCCAATTCGCTTGCAGGTCATGGCATCACCTTCCTGATGTCATAGTCATCTTTGAGAATGAAGGACAAACAACAACAACAACAACACTCCTAGAGGAACTGAATCATATCAGTGTTGACATTCTTATCACAAATTAAATCAGAAGGCAAAAGAAAATTGCAGCTAATCAGGTCACTGCCCTACTCAAGCAGCCTCACTGGTGTCCTATTGCCTTTAAGACCTCTAAGATCAAACACAAACTCTTCTGCTTGTCATTTAGGACCTTGACAATCTGGCTCTAACCTATCTTTCCATCCCAATTTCATTATTCATTCATTATTTATTATTCCTCTTGATGCACTCTTTGTTCTAGTTGAACTAGTTCGTCAGCTGTTCCACACAACTTTCGATTTTCTGCCTTCATGACTTCCTGGGCTGTATCTCATGCTTAGAATCCTCCTCCTTCTCCTATCTCTGCCTCCTGAATCTCTAGAGTCCTTCAAATCTCAGCTCAGCTGCTACCTTCTACATAAGACCCCCTTTATCCTGCCATGTTATCCCTCCATCAGAATTACTTTGCATTTTGAATTTGCTTCTTTGCGTAAGTGTTTTAATCCCCCCCCCAGTAGAATTTAAGCTTCTTGAGGGCAGGGACTGTTTTATTTTTGTCTTTGTATCCAAGTGCCTAGCACAATGCTTTGCATATGTGTTTAATAAATGCTTATATATAAATGAATGTATAAATAAATGAATGAGGAGGTAGACAAATTCTATGAAAAATTTGATAAATCCCTTCAAATCATCAACATGTACTTTAATAATAATTTATTTTGGTATAAATAATTATGGAGTAAAAAATAAAAGAGGCTAAAGAGTACAAAGAAGGTTACAAAGAATAATTTTTTTCAAGATGAGGATCAGAAGGTGTTAGACAAGTTAAGCAACAAAAAAAATTCCACACACACAAAAAAAACCTGGTTATATCTTAACAGATATAATATTACTGATAACCTATGTGGGGGTCATTTCTAAATCAGTCTGTGTACAGATAGTCTCAGATTCTCAACTTAATAGAAAAAAGAGTAAAATCAATAGCAAGTAATAGAAAGAATATAAGTGTGAAGATATGTCATGCAATCAAAACAACATTAATTTGACCAACTTAAACAAGCTTGACACTGAAAAATGGGAAATGGCTAAAACAATTGATAAGAATCAATTTCCTAAAGATGTTAAATCAGTTGCCATAATGAGACCAAGAAACGCTAGAAACTGTCTTAGCAAGGAAACATACAGTTTCCTTGCCCCGCAGAGAGCCATGGTAGCCAAGGGCAATAACATAAGTTTAGAATATAAACTCACTTATAAAATTTTATAGTGGATGATGGTAGATGATTGTGAGTGATAACTCATTTTATAAAAGTGAGAAGCAAAAGAAGGAAAAACAAGATGACAGAAAATGTGGTGAGAGATGTTGACTAGAAGCCAGTTCATATGGAGCGTTTTTAAGGATAAAATTGGAAGGACAATAAGCAGATGAAGATGTGTAATAATGTGTACTCACATCAGTGAGATCTTAGATCCAGCAAAATATCAAAGTTGTGTTTACCTCTTTTCAAGTGCCTAAGTACCAAGCATAAGGTTGGGTGTATAGCCCAACACAGACTCTGCAGAGTACATATACTTTTAAAGACTTACTTCCCTCCTCAGACATTTCATTTCTGGTTTATCAAATTATATATTTACTCCAGAGGGAAATAAAGGACCAATGACTAGAAGTT